GGTAATATTGATCGAAAACATATCCATTCTTTTGTATCACTTATATCTTATAAATCAAACCTCTGATATCTTTCCATCATATAACATTTATCAGTTATCTCCTTGTAATTTTATAACATCATAATACTCATGGTGCAAATAAACCAAAAAATAATAAATAAATGAAAAAATGAAAGAAAAAACGTTTTTGACCACATAAGCCGTGAGAAAATAAAATATCAAACATACAAGTTGAGAGAATTAACGATATGAACTTTCTTGACATATAATCAATTCTTCAAAAGTGTGGAGATTTGAATTTGTATCTCTAGGAACGAGGGTCATAAAACAAAGGGGACAAATGAAATAATATTATTTTGTGTTTTGTAACCTATGCGTACAGGTTTATAAAATTTAAATATATCTAGCATTATATTTAAAGCTCCTTCATATCATCTATAAAGGACTGTTTGGCCATAACAAAATGACACAGCAAAATTATATAAAAAAAGCAAACTTATAGTAAAAAATAAATTAAAAATTATTCACTTCACCGATGAAACTATAACTTATGTGAAATAGTCCACTTTTGGTATGCAAACTATTTGACTAAGGTCACTATACTGCCCTGCAGTAAATGTATACTACTTTTTTAGAATTTTTAAAATTCTCACATAATTTAAAACCCTTGATTTAAATTCCAACCCCAGATTAAAACCGAGCATTAGATCTAATAAAAGTAAAAATACTTTCTATGTCTATAATGTAGCAACTATGTACAGGTCTTTTTTGGGGCACACCACTAGTTATTGTTCAAGACTCTAATATTTAAAGTTTATCAGAAGCATATCATCTTGTTCAAAGTGATGTGCTCCTGAGTGTAAGTAAACATATTTACATGAACATTACTGTTCGTGAAATCCAACTGATTCAACCCATAAAAAGACAATCTCCCTGTAAGATCTGTGAGATCCATAAAGGTCACAAAGCAGAGTCTTTATACACCCTGCAGTTGGCCAACTGAGAGGTTCTCTGCAGCAGACCTCTTCTTTTCGGATGGGTGGATGAGGGGGAGAGGGGGGGTAGGGTAGTAGTGAGGATGCTTTTTGGACTAGTGAATCATAATTATTACAGCTTGCCCTGAGGCAAACTTGAAAATTGGTTTTCTTTGCATCTTGTGTAAATAGGATACTTAAGTTACTGACCAGTAGTAAGTTAAAAAAGATTGCACAGGGATGTTGATGCAACATTTGAAGGTTTGGCTTGTCCAGGTGGCTTGGCTTGTTCTTGAGTGTTTTTCTCATTTTCCTCATTTGATTTGCTTTTCTTTTCATCTGTGGCAGAATTATCTGCTTTTATTATATCGTCATTACCCTTGACCTGAAAATTAAACAGACAGTAAATTAGGAGCTTCTGTAGTAGGGGTAAACAAATGAACATGGTATGAAATTTTACAACTCGAATCTTGTTACAATTTAAAGATCATGTATATGTTCAATTGCAAACTACATGTACATATATAATGAAATTTTTGTAAAAAGAGGATCAAGTGGTAAATGCTGACTGTTGTTCGCATAGGAAGTGTCCACTATGTACAAAAAGATCACATATTATCGATAGTCATTGCACAAACATTTCCAAACCTTGTCCCACTGAAAGTGCAGGCCATTTATGTTATGTGGTGTGTGTGGAACATGACCATAATATGCGACTGGACTGTCTTTCTGCTGTATCACTACATCATCATCTTCTTCATTGGCTTCATCTTCTTCAAAGAACGACCCCATCACTGGCTGAAGGCTGGGTTTACTCTGGGTGGCAGATAATCTGCCTGTTTCACAGTGAGGACCAATAGCAGTTGTATGGCCGCCAACCATGGACATGAAGGTCTGGGTGGCTTCTCCTCCTTCTTTCTTACCAACCAGCCAAAACGTCTTCATTCCTCCCTTGCCCTATCAGTCAGAAGGGAAAGCGATCAGTAGAATGTCAAAATTCCTATTTTCAGCATTGAGATAAATTTGAAGATTACGATAAGATAGACAGATTCCACTAAAGTGTTTACATCCTTGTTGCCACCCAATTCAAACACAGTGATTCATTTGGGAGGTTACAATTGTCCCTTTTGTACATACTCTCACGCAATCAGTTGTGTGTGACAAATTGTACAATTGTGACCTCCCAAATGAGTCATCGTGTGGTCTGAATTGAGTGGCAACAAGGATGCAAACATGCTAGCCGAATCTGTCTACTGTTACTTTGTAGAGTAAAAATTAAGCACCACTCTTCCACTACTCAATGTCAACATATTTTCCACCATGCATACTTACAGTTTAAGGTAAAAGGTAAAGTTTTGCATTCAGGCCTGCTGGCTCATACAGCTCATATTTACATATAACTATGGTTCTGTACCATGAAACAACAACTCTCTCCTGGATAACAGTCCATCAAAAGGTTACTCCCAACATTACATTCTCAGGTAACCATTTAATACACACTTGGGTGCAAAAAGGCATGGTGATAGTAAAGTGCCTTACCCAAAAGCAGAACTCAATAACCCAGCTGGGGTTGAGCCCAAACCTCTCAATCCCTTAACCAGCTTGCATGTACCTCCATACCTATTGGCACCACCTAGACCATTAATTTTCCCAACTCGAGAAATTAATATTCACCTTAATATCAATGCTGCCTCGCTGCTTTGTGACGTAGTTGGCAGTTTGTAAACAATTGTAAGTTGTCTCACTGATGTGGATCCTCATTGCCTAGGATTAAAAATATAATGAACATTTACAGTACAATTGAAAGCAAAGGAATGTACAGTACAGTGACCAGCACTCAAGTCATCATCTTAGACAAATAATTTCTTAAGTATATTTGATTTTAGCATTCCAGAAACAACTGTTGCTAGCTGTGAACCACAATGAAGAATGGGCATCAATCAAGTCTGTACACAGAACAACTCCACTTAGCTCCTCGAGTTTGCACGTGCATTGTATTTAGCAAACCCACTGACTGACTGCATCAGGTAAATGTGCAATCCGATTGGCTACAAAGAGGCTATCTAACCAGCAATACACAGCATGGGGAACAGTTTAATCTTTGAAAAAGGTTTCCACTCTACATTTTCTATTAGTTTCTGAAACATTTTAAACTTGTTTGTTTCACAGATTGTTACATTTAACTGGGTTGCGCTAATACAATATTATTTCCAAGAGAGCTTAACCTTCATTTCAATCAACTTTCACAAACTGAAAGAAAGGAAATCATGAATGTGATGGTGTCTGGATATCTGATGTTAATTAGCATAGATTTTACGATTTTATTTCTCTGCTTTCTCGTTACTTTTAGTTTCAATTGAGAAGATATATCAAACACTCAAGACTGTATTTGATCAAATTTCCAATCACCTCGAAGTTCATCAAAAGTACTCCGCTGCACGTCGTATTTTCAACTCTCTTCTCGACATTTGGAAATGTGGTTAAACACAGTCTTTTGTGTTTGATATATTACTACTTAGTAGTTAATAGTGTCAGCTAATAACCTCAAGCTCACTGTCTAATTATTCTTAAATATTGTCACTTGCCAGTCCAGAGGACTCCATCCTAGAGGCTGTGTTGACAGTGTCACCAAACAAACAATACCGTGGCATTTTCAAACCAACTACACCTGCTACAACCATTCCGGTATGTACACCTATGGCATGACATGAACAATCAGGAAAACGCAATCAGCAATTCTGTTTCTTTACAACTATAATAAGAATGGCTCTGTAGTTGTGAATATTTTCAATAAAGGTAGGCAATAGGATTTTGATTCAAAAGGAAAAACAAATCTTAATTGACCATGCACATTTCCCCAATGAGGATTTTCAGGGCTAATGAAACCAAATGATGAAACAAATAATGCAAATGAACATAACATTGTTAAAAATCCCAACTGGCGGGAGGCAGACCAGTTGGTTATTTACAAGCATGACCGAGGAGTTGACCTAGGGTTTACTCAGAAACAACTCCAGCTAAGTGGTCAGAGCGGGACTTGAACCCACAACCTCCGGATTTCAAGTTCGGCACCCTAATCTGTTGGCCATGCTGCCTCTATATAGTGAGTAAGTAGAAATGAGTCTCCTATTGAGTAGTTCCATCATACCTATCCTGATTTTGAGGTGTTGGGATGATTTCGAAGGATCACAAAGTGTCGGCATGGCAGATATCATATCCAGTGCAAGGTCGGCAACATGTTCTGCATGGTAATGGCTACGCTCAGGAACACCACTCACAATCATGTATGCATCACCAATTGTCTCCACCTACAAAAACAAATTTATGCATGCTGAAGTACATCTTCTCAATTCTAGCACTGTCCAGTACACCAAGATACAAAGCATGCAAAGTTTAAGCACTTGGATATTACCAACAGCAGGATACAATAACTATACTTTGTGGCCCTAGCAGTCATTAATAATACTTATTGCCATTGTTCAAAGGTGCCGACTGGACTATTCTGAGTGAATAACGAAATCTGAACATATCTAGTAACTTCCACTTACAATCAACAAATTTCCAGACACAACAGCCAAATTTATTGTTCACTCATTTTAAAATGTTAAGGGACACCTCATGAATTAATCTTAATTCAGCAGGCATCTGGAAAAGCCACACACAGTGATACTGATAAATTGTTACACAAATTCACATTTAATTACGCCATGCTGAATGGATTGTAGTATACTAGCATTTGAAAACATTTTGATTATAATGAACCAAATTTTCAGATTGAGAAAAATGTAAAATTAAATTGTAATTTGTTATGAGAGAGCAGTCTTTCCTGATTTTTCTTCAAGGTACATTAATGTAATGTAATGTACATTAATATGTCCTATGTACTAAGGAAGCCCAAACGAGCAAAACAGCAACTCTAAATTTTATTGACACATTAAGAAGTTCACTGTTTACTCCGACCGATATTATTATTTATTAAATCCATTTTGAAATCACTGGTTATCCTTGCAATCTGATTGGCTCTCAGTAGTGTGATTTATTCATGAATCACACTATTTTTTGCTCCAAATCGCATCTTTTTCTCAGCCAATGAGAATGAGACAGTAAAACAAAACAACCAATCAGATTTCAAGATTAGCTTAAAGTAATCAATAAAATTTCAGGAAAATGAAAGGCAAAAAGCCACTGTGTGGAGAATTTTGCAACTATTATTGCCAAAACTTTGTTGTTATCATAGTTTTTTTCCAAAAAAATCGATAAATTTAATTAATTACAGTTTCTGAATGACAATTATGAGCTCCTTCAGGCTGAAGACCTACTTTAATGGAAGTTTCCAACTTTCAGTGTCCATTTTGAC